ATCACCTCCATGCCATTGCTGAGCAACAACAACAACAACACGGAAACATGTCGAAAAGGTTAACTTTAACCACGAAACCAGATCGGACGACCTGTAACGTTACACGTTATACTCAAAGGATGGACGATCTGACAGGATTGTTACATGTTGCATTTTTGACGGTCGTTTCTGTCCAGTCCGCTCGTTTTATCGCGTTTAACCACGGCTGTCGTCGGTTTTTTGTCTGGCAGTGGCAGCAGATATGCGATCAGATTTCTAATTTGAGGCTGTATTACGTCGATTCTGGCACCCAACATCACAACAAGATGATATTTTAAGCTCATGTAGCCGAATCTGCGCTGGTTTGAATGGGCCGCCTCTAGTTTCTCCTTTGTTGTGCTGCCTGCAGCTAGCGCTGTGACGTCGCTGACCCTAGTTACCTGTGGTTGACCTGGCCGTGCATCACTCAGAAAACAACAGGCCAATCAGAAGAGAGGCTCATGAATATTAATTAGACGTACCAAAATCGACCTGTTATCAGCAGAGCTCCCGAGAAAGGAGCTGTAAAAATATATTGAGATGGTTTTTGGTACTTATAACGCAAATATATATTCTTACGGACATCAAGACTTAAAATAAAACTCCAGAAAGGTGTACAATATGGGACCTTTAAACCTGTGAAATAGTGAAAACGCAGGTAACGGCTGAATTCAACCAAATAGTATTACCCTGACATTTTCACATTTTTCGCTTTAATAGTACGTGATTCAAAAATTGTCGCGTAATTTACAGAATACCATGGTATTGTATGTAAACATAATAATGGCGATAAAGTACTTTAAATGTAAAGCATCTTATTAGTTTGTTTAAATGTAGAACATTTAAAATAAACAAACAAAAGAAAAGCTTTCAAGTATTCTATGCATTCGGTTTGATTTCTTTCAGAATTTCATTATATTTCGTTAGCTCAATTTTAAACGGCACGATGTTCAGTTCATTGTTTGCCCGTTTTTTTGTTTGTGTTTCTAGTATTTTTCAAATTAATAATCAATTTATTTTCTAAACTCTTATTTCCATACAATACAGATATATATTTACCAGTTAAAGGAATTTTAAATTCAGTAAAAGTAATAAATAATTAAAATAAAAGTGTATTTTCAATCTCCTGAGACTGGATAAGTTCAACTAAATTAAATTTAATTAATGACTTTATAAGTAACTTTATTGCTGGGACGATATTTGCTAGAAAAGTGTATTCCACAATGTTTTGTATTTAACGTTTTTTTTAATTTTATTATTATTAATGAAAATAGAGCAAATAACAAACAGAGCATAGCATAAGACAGTCAGTGCTATACAAAGTGTGGCATTAATTAGTAACGGGAGCTGAAAATAATGTCATAATATTTTAAACATGCTAATGACTTTCTGTTTTTTAACAATTTCAGAGAAGATATAAAACACAATCAAATTCCACTAAAAATGCTTTAAATATTGGGGATGAATTTAAACAGTTTTGTTTATGTATATACAATGTTGCCAGGAATATGAATAAATTAACAATGTATTCAAGACCTTCGTTAACATTGTTTTCATAATAATATCCTTTTAAAGAAAAACTGTATTTATCCTTTACTAGATTAAAAATAAATTCTGCCAATTCCTTCCAAAAATTTTGGGTAATTTTACAATAAAAAACTAAATGTGATAACACCTCTTTCTCACTTTTACAAAAGGAGCATAAATCATCAATATCAGAGAAATTATTGATCTAACCGGGTAGAGGCTATGCAACATTTTAAAAATTTATTTCTTTAGTTTTGTTATTGATACAATATTTAAAGGGGGTTAACCAAGCAGTCTTCCAATTAATATCATCAATAATAGAGTTCCGAAAGGTGTTCTTTTTTTGTGTTTATCGCTAGCTTGGCGTGACGTCACAGCAGTACCGGAAGTGCGTGCACTCTCTGGCGAAGATGGCGGACGGCGAAAACAACCGGGCCGACGCCGCCGAGCCGCTCCTGAAGAGACCGAGACTCCGGGATGCGCGCGGCGGAACCGAGCCGGTGGAGGCGGACCCGGCGCTGATGGACGAGTCCCGTTCTCAGGCCTCACGGAACAGCAGCAGCAGCAGCCTCACCGAACCAGAACCAGAACCAGAACCCGAACCCGAACCCTCCGGTACAGCACTGCGTTCCTCACTGATTTATTTGTATGATTTATTGGTTATTCTGTGAGTTCTGAAAGTTGATTTCTCTCATGCTAAGCTAACAGTCAGGTTTAATACCCTTAACGTTACACACTTTTACCTTGTTTTTACGTTTGTATGATTAACAATATAATAGCAACTTTTTATGGTTTTATTATAATAATAATAATAATTATTATTATTTTGTTTTTATGCAATTTAATTATTTTTATTATTATTGATTTATTCAGTTATTATTATTATTATTATTATCTGTGGAGTTTAAATAATTATTTAATATTATAAAAACTTATGTTTTACATTTAAGTGTTTATTATTATTAATATTATATTTAATTATGCAATTTAATTATTTTTATTATTATTGATTTATTCAGTTATTATTATTATTATCTGTGGAGTTTAAATAATTATTTAATATTATAAAAACTTATGTTTTACATTTAAGTGTTTATTATTATTAATATTATATTTAATTATTTTTATTATTATTTAATTATTCAGTTATTATTATTATTATTATCTGTGGAGTTTGAATAATTATTTAATATTATAAAAACTTGTTTTTATGTTTTACATTTAAGTGTTTATTATTATTATTATTATATTTAATTATGCAATTTAATTATTTTTATTATGATTGATTTATTCAGTTATTATTATCTGTGGAGTTTGAATAATTATTTAATATTATAAAAACTTTTATGTTTTACATTTAAGTGTTTATTATTATTAATATTATATTTAATTATTTTTATTATTATTTAATTATTCAGTTATTATTATTATTATTATCTGTGGAGTTTGAATAATTATTTAATATTATAAAAACTTGTTTTTATGTTTTACATTTAAGTGTTTATTATTATTAATATTATATTTAATTATGCAATTTAATTATTTTTATTATTATTGATTTATTCAGTTATTATTATTATTATCTGTGGAGTTTAAATAATTATTTAATATTATAAAAACTTTTATGTTTTACATTTAAGTGTTTATTATTATTAATATTATATTTAATTATGCAATTTAATTATTTTTATTATTATTGATTTATTCAGTTATTATTATTATTATCTGTGGAGTTTAAATAATTATTTAATATTATAAAAACTTTTATGTTTTACATTTAAGTGTTTATTATTATTAATATTATATTTAATTATGCAATTTAATTATTTTTATTATTATTGATTTATTCAGTTATTATTATTATTATCTGTGGAGTTTAAATAATTATTTAATATTATAAAAACTTTTATGTTTTACATTTAAGTGTTTATTATTATTAATATTATATTTAATTATGCAATTTAATTATCACTCAGAAAACAACAGGCCAATCAGAAGAGAGGCTCATGAATATTAATTAGACGTACCAAAATCGACCTGTTATCAGCAGAGCTCCCGAGAAAGGAGCTGTAAAAATATATTGAGATGGTTTTTGGTACTTATACCGCAAATATATATTCTTACGGACATCAAGACTTAAAATAAAACTCCAGAAAGGTGTACAATATGGGACCTTTAAACCTGTGAAATAGTGAAAACACAGGTAACGGCTGAATTCAACCAAATAGTATTACCCTGACATTTTCACATTTTTCGCTTTAATAGTACGTGATTCAAAAATTGTCGCGTAATTTACAGAATACCATGGTATTGTATGTAAACATAATAATGGCGATAAAGTACTTTAAATGTAAAGCATCTTATTAGTTTGTTTAAATGTAGAACATTTAAAATAAACAAACAAAAGAAAAGCTTTCAAGTATTCTATGCATTCGGTTTGATTTCTTTCAGAATTTCATTATATTTCGTTAGCTCAATTTTAAACGGCACGATGTTCCGTTTATTGTTTGCGTTTCTAGTATTTTTTATATAAAATTACGCAAATTAATAATCAATTTATTTTCTAAACTCTTATTTCCATACAATACAGATATATATTTACCAGTTAAAGGAATTTTAAATTCAGTAAAAGTAATAAATAATTAAAATAAAAGTGTATTTTCAATCTCCTGAGACTGGATACGTTCAACTAAATTAAATTTAATTAATGACTTTATAAGTAACTTTATTGCTGGGACGATATTTGCTAGAAAAGTGTATTCCACAATGTTTTGTATTTAACGTTTTTTTTAATTTTATTATTATTAATGAAAATAGAGCAAATAACAAACAGAGCATAGCATAAGACAGTCAGTGCTATACAAAGTGTGGCATTAATTAGTAACGGGAGCTGAAAATAATGTCATAATATTTTAAACATGCTAATGACTTTCTGTTTTTTAACAATTTCAGAGAAGATATAAAACACAATCAAATTCCACTAAAAATGCTTTAAATATTGGGGATGAATTTAAACAGTTTTGTTTATGTATATACAATGTTGCCAGGAATATGAATAAATTAACAATGTATTCAAGACCTTCGTTAACATTGTTTTCATAATAATATCCTTTTAAAGAAAAACTGTATTTATCCTTTACTAGATTAAAAATAAATTCTGCCAATTCCTTCCAAAAATTTTGGGTAATTTTACAATAAAAAACTAAATGTGATAACACCTCTTTCTCACTTTTACAAAAGGAGCATAAATCATCAATATCAGAGAAATTATTGATCTAACCGGGTAGAGGCTATGCAACATTTTAAAAATTTATTTCTTTAGTTTTGTTATTGATACAATATTTAAAGGGGGTTAACCAAGCAGTCTTCCAATTAATATCATCAATAATAGAGTTCCGAAAGGTGTTCTTTTTTTGTGTTTATCGCTAGCTTGGCGTGACGTCACAGCAGTACCGGAAGTGCGTGCACTCTCTGGCGAAGATGGCGGACGGCGAAAACAACCGGGCCGACGCCGCCGAGCCGCTCCTGAAGAGACCGAGACTCCGGGATGCGCGCGGCGGAACCGAGCCGGTGGAGGCGGACCCGGCGCTGATGGACGAGTCCCGTTCTCAGGCCTCACGGAACAGCAGCAGCAGCAGCCTCACCGAACCAGAACCAGAACCAGAACCCGAACCCGAACCCTCCGGTACAGCACTGCGTTCCTCACTGATTTATTTGTATGATTTATTGGTTATTCTGTGAGTTCTGAAAGTTGATTTCTCTCATGCTAAGCTAACAGTCAGGTTTAATACCCTTAACGTTACACACTTTTACCTTGTTTTTACGTTTGTATGATTAACAATATAATAGCAACTTTTTATGGTTTTATTATAATAATAATAATAATTATTATTATTTTGTTTTTATGCAATTTAATTATTTTTATTATTATTGATTTATTCAGTTATTATTATTATTATTATTATCTGTGGAGTTTAAATAATTATTTAATATTATAAAAACTTTTATGTTTTACATTTAAGTGTTTATTATTATTAATATTATATTTAATTATGCAATTTAATTATTTTTATTATTATTGATTTATTCAGTTATTATTATTATTATCTGTGGAGTTTAAATAATTATTTAATATTATAAAAACTTTTATGTTTTACATTTAAGTGTTTATTATTATTAATATTATATTTAATTATGCAATTTAATTATTTTTATTATTATTGATTTATTCAGTTATTATTATTATTATCTGTGGAGTTTAAATAATTATTTAATATTATAAAAACTTATGTTTTACATTTAAGTGTTTATTATTATTAATATTATATTTAATTATTTTTATTATTATTTAATTATTCAGTTATTATTATTATTATTATTATTATTATTATTATTATTATTATTATTATTATTATTATTATTATTATTATTATTATTATTATTATTATTATTATTATTATTATTATTATTATTATTATTATTATTATTATTATTATTATTATTATTATTATTATTATTATTATTATTATTATTATTATTATTATTATTATTATTATTATTATTATTATTATTATTATTATTATTATTATTATTATTATTATTATTATTATCTGTGGAGTTTGAATAATTATTTAATATTATAAAAACTTATGTTTTACATTTAAGTGTTTATTATTATTAATATTATATTTAATTATTTTTATTATTATTTAATTATTCAGTTATTATTATTATTATTATTATCTGTGGAGTTTAAATAATTATTTAATATTATAAAAACTTTTATGTTTTACATTTAAGTGTTTATTATTATTAATATTATATTTAATTATGCAATTTAATTATTTTTATTATTATTGATTTATTCAGTTATTATTATTATTATCTGTGGAGTTTAAATAATTATTTAATATTATAAAAACTTATGTTTTACATTTAAGTGTTTATTATTATTAATATTATATTTAATTATGCAATTTAATTATTTTTATTATTATTTAATTATTCAGTTATTATTATTATTATTATTATCTGTGGAGTTTGAATAATTATTTAATATTATAAAAACTTTTATGTTTTACATTTAAGTGTTTATTATTATTATTATATTTAATTATGCAATTTAATTATTTTTATTATGATTGATTTATTCAGTTATTATTATCTGTGGAGTTTGAATAATTATTTAATATTATAAAAACGTTTATGTTTTACATTTAAGTGTTTATTATTATATTTAATTATGCAATTTAATTATTAAATATTTTGGTATCAATAATTACATTTTAAGATGTTATTGATTTGTGTATTTTATCATTTTATATAGTCTCAATATTTAAGTAAATATTATTTTTAATCTTGTATCATTAAATAGCATTGTTCTTGTTATCTCTTAAGTGTTTTTATATTTTTATACTTAAGTGTTTTATTATTATTCAATAAAGTAATTATTCAATATTATTTTGTGATTGATATTTATATTATGTAATTATTAATTAAATTCAATTTTATTCATTGCATAATATTAACCCCTTCAGTTATTATTATTATGAGTTTTAGGGGGCATGTCACACTTCTGTCACTGCTTTGACTTTATTTATAGAATTATTTACACATTTTATCTATAATAATGCATATTCTTGTTCTTCGTGCTGATGAAGGAAGCTGTAACTCCCGCACCACTCAATCATATACTTCCATGTTTATATTACACACAGGTTTACCTTGATTACCTTGTTTATTTATTAAAATAAATGTTCTTCATAGCAATATTGAATTATTCCACTACACTAGCCATCTAGTGTAGTGGAATACAGTAAGGCCAGGCCTGTTATGCTGCTGTTATTCCTCTATATAAACCGAGATCAGTCTGAAATGGTGTTTTTGTGTGGTTTGCTCTCAGACCTACTTGACGAAGGTGTCCCTCCCAATGGCTTCACGTCTCCTGATCTTCCTCACGAGGATGATGACGACTGCTCGTCTCGCGCCAGCTCCAGCGACTGGACGCCTCAGCCACAGATCGGTCAGTTTAGCTGGTTTCGTGCTCCGTTGTCTGAAGTGCAACGCTCTTAGAGCCTTGTTTTATAAGACGGACCCAGAAAAAATGCGAGCTTTTATCCAAAGCGACTTTACACGTGAGGACGGCAGAAGCAATCAATCGTCGTATATTCACTCATCATGACGGTAAAATAGGGCATTCTAAGTCAATATACTGCAGTATTTCCTCTCAATCAGTAGAAAATATGGTTAACACCCGGTCATGCATGAAAAAAAAATACCCTCATATACCGTGAAACCGGTATAATTTTGAAAAATACCGTGATATAAAATGTTAATCATACCGCCCAGCGATACATCAGACCCCCTTCTTGGGGAGGTCTTTTTTTTTTTTACTGTACAATTAAAAGCAGCCTTGCTGAGAAGAGACTTCTTTTAAAACATTAGAAAATATTACAGATCCTAATTTGAACACTATGTGTGAATGTTATAATAAATGTATTAAAACAGAGCTGTTGTAATGATTATTATCATTATTATTGTCTTACTTTTTATTTTATTTTACAGAACAACAGTAAAATTACAATACTAACATTTATGAATGTTGATAAGAGTTCTTGCTTTTTCTCAACTTTTATTTTGGCGGAAACACGCAGGAAGACCTCAATGCTTATTTTTGTTGACAACAGATTTATAAATGCATCTCATCACGAATACGTCGTACGTATCGCGTTGTCACGTGCCTTGTAAAAATTCATAAAAATGTTACTGAGCAACAGACGACTGTATCAGCGCAATTGGATTGCATCCCTAGTATATTGCAAAAACCATTCAAAACACCCCTACAAGAGCGCACACATCACGTGAAGCGCATTTAGAGTGCGTTCTTTCACTGCATGATTCAGTCTATTAAACTGCATTCAGAATGATCACAAATTCAAGACATGATGGCAGAACATGTATATATTTATACCATTTCATATAGTTAATAATCAATTTCACACGAAGAGTGTGTCTTCAAATATTACCATGATTACAAATGTGATACTGATTTTTTACAACAGTTCAATAAACTAGAAGTTAATTAAGAGACTTACGTTTTAGACACCATATTGCCTGTTTTTGTTCTATTTCTCCAACAGAAATAATTCCAAACACAGCCACAGCGCTGTTTTGCGTCTTTGAGCAACATGACGGCGATTCGTTCCTGAATGAATCACTCGTTTAAATGATTCGTTTCAATCGCAACGACTCTCTTATTAACAGTGATTTCACATTCAAAGTATCTTTTATTATTTTAAATGATTTCAAATATCAGTATTCAACGTTTTATGTTTAATATATCAAAACATTATTTGTGCATTTGTAATTGCAGGTTAAATGCTTTCATGTCTTGCATTAAACAGTGAAACAACTTCAGATGCAGCTTCTGTGTTGATTTCATTTGCTCGGTAAAAGCCCAAATGTCTTATCATTCTAATTCACTGATTAAATGTAAGAATTTCACTCAAAAGATAATGGACACTTTTAGAAAAAATGGCTTTATAAAGGTTAAAATGGCCATAAAATGTAAAAATCAGTTTAAACTTATTAGTTTAAAAGATTAATTTCTCTCAGTGTGAACTGACCACAGCATAGAATATGAAGAATATGAAAAACTTTACGAATCAGCTGTCCACGGCAGTCCTTAAGATACCAGCACAATAACACACTCGGCAAAATATCGTCTAATTATCGTTATTGATAAAATCACAGATAACATCGAGATGTTATTTTTTGTCAATATCGCACACCCCTACCAGGGAATTGTAAATGAAATATACTGTATGGAGAGACTTACATATTTACTGTTAGACTTAATTTGGGTAAATGTATCAAGTATTGGGATAAATGGATTGTGTGGACACATACCATTGAGGTTACTTAGGGCTGCACGATAAATTGAAATGGAATCGAGATCGCGATTCGACAGAAACTGCGATTGTCGTGCGTATCTTTCAGTGAAGCACGGTTCTGTGATCAGCAGTAAATCTCCATCCGAAGGCCAGAGAAACTCCAAATACGCCTCGCAGAAGAAACCCAGAAAATGTCTATCGCTGCAGCTGAATAAACAGAAGATTCAACTGCTTTCATTGATTCAACGTGACTAATAAACACACGACTACGGCAATATATGGTTTATCTGAGTTCTTATTATTATAATTTTCATTAAAATAAAGTATATTTATAATGCAATGCCTTTATCACTGCTTAAATACGATGAAATATGTTGTGTGCCTTATTCTGTGTAAGAAGCCACATCATCTCACAGAAGGATTTATTTCAAACACTCGACTGACGTTATGAAGTGAGTTTGGAGTAAAAACATGTTATTAAATGTGGTATTTTCACATGCTTTCAGATGG